ATGCTCCTTGGAAGTGAGAATGGCCAGACTTCATCTCACCTACTTTGGTCATGTTGTCAGAAGGGACCATTTCCTGGAGAAGGATGCCATGCTTGGTATGGTGGAGAGTCGACCTTACCAAGGAGGTCGAAAGAGGGGAAGGCCTTCAATAAGATGGACTGATACAGTGGCTCTGATGACGGTCTCAAGCATAGCAAGGATCATGGAGCTGGTGGGATCGGGCGGTGTTTCATTCTGCGGTGCATGGGGTTGCTATGAATTGGAAACGACTCGATGGCACCTAACAACAACAACATATTCTTCAAATCTAAAAGGTTAAGAACATGTGCAGAACTATGTGTCTTCCAAGCAAAGACCTGAGAAGGCAGTAATCTCTTACCTTTGACTGAAATTGAGGCTCTATGCAAACAGGAAGTAATGATTAAGGAGGTGTTGTTAACTTCAGCATTAAAGAATGATCTCAGAACATATACAGAACCTATTGGCAAAGGTTAGGGAATACATTAATGCAAAGCATTTAAGGAAATCTCTATCCAATCATTAGAGGACCACTAAGCATAGTGCCTAAGGCCCTTGACTGCTAACCAGAAGGCTGGCGGTTCAAACCCACCAGCCACTCCTCGGAAGGAAGATAGGGCAATCTACTTCCGTAGTGATACTGCCTCGGAAACCCAAGGAGGAGTCGCTATGAGTCGGGCGACTCGATGGCATATAACAACAAGCTAACAGTGCAGACTTCAGTGGTCACACATGAAAAAGAATTTAGACTTAAAAGAATTAAAGAACTTAGTGAAACAAACCACCGTGAAAAACATACTAATTGCAATAACAACAACAAAAAAAAACCATGGGCAGGGGATGAATATGATTTCCAGAGTCATCTCTTCAGTAATTTTGAATCATTAGAAATATATATTTATTTCAAAAATGTAATTATGCAACAACCTAAGGAAAATCCAGAGAATGGAGAGGCTTGGAGCATGGCAATAAAGGAAATGTCTTCATATAGAAGTGGTCTAAGATTGTTAGAATCACTGCACTAGGGATAAAGAAATCTTCAAACTTCATTTAAAAATAATTTGTCTTTACCTGGGACAGTATATTGTGTTCAGCTACTTTCTGGCAGTTCTGCCAGTCTATTTAAGGAAATCCCTCATCATATTGGTGAGGGACCTCTGTGTGTTAGGAAGATATTCCCCAATATCAGGGTGAATTACTTACTTTAGTAAGAAGGCAGACAGAGAAATGTCCTGCAGCAACCTGAAAATGTTACTGGTTCACAGTCTAGTAGTGGATGATTATATAACCTTTCTCTACCAATCTCACCTTTGGGCCTTCAGTCTATGAAGTAGAGAGCGAGATTCTTTCCATAAGTATGTTTGAATTCTCACATCATTAAAAGTCAGAGAAAAAAATCTGTTTTCTCTCCATTCCCCACAGTTTTCACTTCTACAAGCCTTAAACTCTTTTTTCCAGATCTGTGGAAACAACATCACACGATGGAAAAAAGATAAAAGATAGCATGTGGGTGCCTCTCCCACCATCCTTCCTGACTTTCACCAGCATCTTGTTGTTGTGTGCCATAGAGTCAGAACCAACCACTGGCTGGGTTTCTGAGGTGGTATCACTACAGTAGTAGATTGCCCCATCTTCCTTCAGAGGAGTGGCTGGTGGGTTTGAACCACTGGCTTTCTGGTGAGCAGTCAAATGCTTTAGGCACTAAGCTACAAGAGCTCCTAGAAAGAGAAAGCCTAGCTGGTGCTTTTGAACCTCCAGCCTTGGGTGTGGCAGGTGACTGCCTTAGGCCTGAGGCCATCCCCTGTTGTTGTTAGTTGTTATATGCCATCGAGTCAGCCCAGACTCATAGTGACCCCTCCTTGGGTTTCCGAGGCA